GTAGTTCAAGCCGATGCCAGTGATTTGACCACCGTAGCAGTTTTCCTTCAGAGAAACACAGAAGGCAACTTACAGCCCTGCGCTTACACCTCCAAAAAACTGACTGAAATTGAACAGAGGTGGATGGTGTGGGACAAAGAAGCCTATGTGGTCCGATGTGCCCTGCTAACCTGGAGACACTTTCTACTGACTGACCACAAGAACCTAGAAGCACTTAACACTCCCCCTGAAAACTCTCCCCAAAGCAGGTCCATTGGGCGCAGTACTTCAAGTGATTCAATTTCAAGCTGAAATACATCCCTGGGGAGAAAACCTCCTGGCAGATGCCTTGTTGATTAAGCCACAATACAATAGTAAGCATGAAGAAGCATGAAGAAGTGTTCTACACTTTGATTCCCCCTCCCAACCTGCTCACAAGCCACAACCAGAGGACAGGCTAAGTAACAGAACCACAGATGGGGGGGGGAATGACCCAAAAGCTTTTAGCCCCAAATGCTTTAAAGAATTGCCAGCAGACTCATGGTACAAAGACAACAAAGATGGGCTAGCCTGGAAAGGCTCTGAATTGTATGTGCCCAGCAGCATATAGCTCCATGTCCTCCAGAAGAGTCATGATTCGAAGCAAGTGGGGCACTTCGGCTATTTGAAAACCTGCATTTGGCCAGAAGGCAACTTTGGTGGCTGAAGGTGAAGAAGGACATTGGAGACTATGTTAAGCGTTGTGCCACTTGCACAGCCATGAAGAAAAGGCCAGGGAAATCCCCAGGGCTACTCTAGCAAGTGAGAGATCCGTCCCGACTTTGGGAAGAAATAACTATGGACTTCATTGTCAAGCTCCCTGAGAGTACGGGGAGTACAGTCATTTGGACCATAATAAATTTGTTCTCAAAGTAAGCCCATTTTATAGCTTGCCCAGAGCTTCTGTCAGCATGGAAGCTGGCCAAATTGTTTATAAGGCGTATCTATAGGTTCATGGTGTCCCCCGCAGTATCATTTCTGACAGGAGGGTCCAGTTCACTGCTAAGTTCTGGAGGGAATTCATGAGGTCCACTGGGTCTTCACAAGGGTTTAGTTTGGCATTTTATCCAAGCAGTAATGGGCTGTGGAATGCGTGAACGCTGCGGTGGAGCAATATTTGAGGTGCTATGTTGATTATCAGCAAACAGACTGGGCAGAGTTGCTGCCGTTTGCTGAGGTGGCATAGAACAATGTGATGCACAGTAGCACCAGCCTGACTCCTTTTCAAGTCACCATTGGCATGGAGTTTGTCCCCATGCCTGAATTCCCCAGGGAGTCACCCTCCTCTATGTTGCTAGCAGAGTGGATGGAGTCACTAAAAAAAGCATGGGAAAATACCAAGCAAGCCCTAAGAGAGGTGTCGAAAACCCATAAAAAGCAATCCAAAAAGCACCATTATCTCCAGCTGCAATTTAAGATGGGGGATAGGGTCTACTTGTCTACAAAGTACTTAAAATTGAAACTAGCTTCTAAGAAGCTTGATCTGAAGTTCGTAGGACGTTTCCCCATAGTAAAAGTCATTAACCTGGTTACTGTACAACTTAGGCTTCCCCGATTGCTAGGGAAAGTGCATCTGGTTTTCCACAGTAGTCTATTAAAGCTGGTAGTGAGTTCTCAAATTAGATCAATAGATTGACACACCTAAGCCACTTGTAATTGAAAGTTGAATGTATTGTGAAATAAAGAAAATCCTAGACTCGAGAGTACATAGGGGTCAGTTGCAGTATTTAGTGCACTGGGAGGGATACCCTCTTTCTGAGGCCACCTGGGTGAAGAGTTGGAAGGTGAATGCAGAAAGACTAGTGAAGCAATTCCATGCCAAGTACTCCCAAAAGCCAAAAAGACCTCTTGGGGGAGGGAGAGGTGGTTAGGAGGAGTGCTCAACTAACCTCACTGTGCTCTGTCTCTCTCTTGCAGGAGGGTTTCTTCAACTGAGGGGGCAGCCTGTCAATCCTGAAGCTGACCTGGCTGGGGCTGTTTTCTTTTCTGTAGCTTTTTCTATAGACATTTTTCTTCACATGGCTTCAGGCTTGACACAGCTGAGAATTGAGGGGGGTGTAGAGATGACTGGTGTTTTGTAGATCAAGCAAAATAGTTCTCTAATGAGCCGAGGACATTCCAACTGCTGGCTAGCCAGAAGGGGAGGAGGAGAAAAGTAACAAGTAACCAGCCAGTATCCAGATTGGACAATGTGATTTATTGTTTGGGAGAACAGGAAACTTTCAGTTTTTAATGAGGTAGAAAATGTAGGAACTCTCAGAGGTCATGTCAAGATGATATCTCCAAATAAAACCGTTCTTTGAGGAATCAACTTGCCTTGGAGCTCTGTTTGCAATGGGTGTATTACTTACTGACAATTTCAGCAGAGAGGATTGTAGCTCATGAGCAAAGAGACATTCACATCTAACGTATACTGGACCTCCCAGGATCTATTCCATCTCTGTGAAACAACCCACACTCCTTACCTGGGACTCCATCTACTTAAACCACAAGGTCATTTAACAACCACAACCAGGAGTGCCAAGATTATGGTCACTGAGCGAAGCAGTGACACAATACCTTGCTTAAAGTCTGCTTCCTCAACAATTGAGATTCCAGTCACAATTGTAGTGACAATTTCCTGTTAGAGTCATATGAAAGATTGTGTCTGATAAAAAAAAAGATTGAACTGATTAACTTCCTGAAGATTTTGGACATCAAATATTAAGTTTCTATTATTGGCTGCTTCACCAATTTGTTATAAAGATGTATAGTGAGAAATTGAGTAGTTTTATGGCTCTCAACAAATTTCTAGATATTCTCTTCCACATTTATTTCTTTGTTTGATGATTGGTTTGTTTCTAAAATACATAAACCACCCTATATCTATCATGGCTTCACACACATTGTCTTATGAAGGACCAGGGAATGATTTCTTCAGTCAGGTGAAAGGCCGGGATGGGGGTAAAGTAGATGCTAAAAAATCAGGTTTTGATACTAATGTAATGCAGAGGATATGTCTGAACAGCAGACATAGAGTAACAAATAAATAGTTCAATAACAGCTCAGGACAACATCAAGGAGTCAGTTTGGTCATGTTCAAGACAAGGAAATTTAGCATGACAGAGTGACAGCCACAACTACCCGAGGGGATTAGTGGCAGCATATCATCCATTGCACCACAGAACTGCAACTGTATAGTGCTCTGAGGTGCATTATGATGAAATGATAGGTTGTAAATGTTGCTCTTGGACATGTTTTCACAAGGTGAATAGTTCCAAAGAATATTTGACAGTAGATACACTATGATACCTAATTTTCATCAAAATGACATGTATAACTCCCAAAATGTAATTGAAATGGTTAACATCCTCTGTATACATTTGTTAAATTTATTTCTTTTTTATTAGTTTATACCATGTTTCTCAGAAAACACAACCCACCCCAATAATAAGCCCATCCTAATTTTTTTTGGGGTGGGCCTAATATTACCTCTATCTGGAAAATAATCCTGGGGGGTGGCCATGGCCAGCACGAGTGGCCGCACGGGAATGGTGGAGGGGGCAAGTGTTGGGCTGCAGAGAGGGGCGAAAGAATTTTCTTGCCTGCCATTCTTCCCTCAGATTGTGCTAAGCTTGTGTAATAGTTCCTTTTGGCTGCTACAGAAGCGGCTCAGTGGAGAGGCGAAGGGGCTCATGGGGCGCTTTCAGCTGCTAAAGAAGGAGCCCGTTGGAGAGGCAAGGCATGTGGGGCATTCCTTCAGATAGAAGCAGCCCAGTGGCTGGGCGAGGCACGTGGAGGGTAAATTAAGACACCCTTCAAAAAGACGGCCTAGTCATTTTTTCAGGGGTCTAAAAAAAATAAGGCCCTGTCTTATTTTCTAAGAAACACGATAATATAAACTATAAAAATAAGCAACTAATAGGAAAAGTAGGGAAGGGAAAAGAGAAGAGAAAAATGTAGAGAAGTCCCTTTCATGCAGTAGAATAAGAAATAGCATCGAATCTCAATTTTTTACTTTTACATAGTAGTATAAACTAGCCATTTCTATAGCAGATCTATCCAATCAGTAAAAACCAAAATCAAAGTTTCATTTTTTTCCACCTCAAGCACAAGATCCAGAAGCAGTTTCCAAGTACAAACAAAAGTATTTGTGTTTTTCTTTTATCAAAGCTGTCAATTTAGCTATTTTTGCTAATTACATCATTACATTTTTGCAACCATTTATCAACTCCAGGGAATGAAGCATCCTTCCATTTTTATGCATAAAGTAATCTTGTTGCCATCAATATAAATACCATTAAAGTTCCTATTTTTCCCCTCAAGTTTTTTTCATTAAACCCCGAAGAAAAGTTTCTTGTTTTATGTTTATATTCATTTTACAAATGTTCTGTATTACAATATGAATCCTACTCCAATATTTCTTTGTCCCTGCATAAATATGAATATGCGTATCTATATATGTATGAAATGCAAGGGTGAAAAGACTGATTATTATGTCAGCTTCCATTTCATGCTTTACAATAAATTAATATAAATTAAATAAATTAAAATAAATATCTTGGAGTAAAAAGTAGATGTTTTGCTCACAAACCCTTTAAAGTGTAATATATTCTACTAAAACATCTGAGCTCCCTTTTTGATAAATGTCTTAAAGATAATATTATCATTACTAAAGATAACAAACATACCCTGTTGTGAAATACTTCAAATTAGTTGTTTAAAAGTACTTAATTCATAATAACAATATTTAATGAATATACCTGGGATGCAAAATCCAGAAAATAGATGGCAGTTAAAAGATGCAGAAAACTCTAACCCTTTATTGCCATTTCTGCTTGTCTGGATCTTTCCACTCCAAATCTGGTAGCCTTATTTAATGACCTTTTAATTAATTTTCATATAAACTTTATTATATAGTGAATTGTACAGTAAGATTTTTGTTTACCCCAACAATACCAGAAGCCTCATTTAATTTTTTTGGCTACAGTTGTATTACTTACTATCCATAGCGTGGAGATATTCCATATGAAAAGCACCTGCTCCTGCTGTGGCAGCTGAAGGAATGATGTCTGCATATGGGCTGCGCTGGCCTGCCAGTAAAGCCATCTGATGGTAATATTCTGCTGGACTAACTCCTGCATGTGGAGCTAAAGTAGGACATTAAAAGCATAATTTAATGACATTAGAAACATGAGTCTTGCTAGAGTTTGCAGCAATCCAACCAGCACACAAGTAAATAATTCAGCAGGATTTATTTATAGACAATAATATAAAGCATGCATACAATACCCATGCAGCTTTTGCAACATGGTAGCAAGTATAAGGACAAGAAGCAGAAGCACAGAACAACCAGAACCCAGAATTCAGTAGCTAGAATATAAGGACAAACAAATGCTTATATATATACAGACTGGTTAAGCTAAGCCACATCCAGGCTCTGAGCCACCTCACATGGCTCACAACAGATTCTGTTTCATAGTCACCAAACATTCCCCATTAGCTGACTTGTTGTTACGGCTATCCCAACTCATAATTTCTTATACACTGATACTCCCTTTATGACTGGAATAGACTTAAAACCAAATAACTTAATATTCTTCCCATGGTGCACTCCATCCAATGGCTTGGTCATTATATCTGCCAGATTGTCTTCTGAAGAACAGTGAAGCAAGCTAATTAATTTACACTTAATGGCTTCTCTTACATTACAATATTTAATATCCACATGCTTGCTTCTATTATTTACTCTGTCACCTGTTGCCATTTTTAATGCAAGCAGCATTATCCTCAAACACCGTTACAGCTTCATTTACTTTTATGTTTAAATCCTTTAACAGCTGTACGTACCAAGTTACCTCTGAACAAAGTTCAGACAGAGTAATAAATTCTGCCTCTGCAGTAGAAATGGCTATAGTTGTTTGTTTTCTGGACTTCCAACCAATTAAAGCCCCTCCAAATAATACCACAACCCCAGAATTGGACATTCTGTTTTTTACATCATTGGTATAATGACTGTCAACATAACATTTCAACTTCAATTCTTTAGAGACCTGTATTTGAAGACCCAAATTCACAGTTCCCTTCAAATATCTGAGAATCCTTTTTACACCCATTCAATACAATTGCGTTGGTGTAGTAGTAAAGCGACTTAAGATGCTTATTGCACAAGTTATGTCTGGTCTGGACCACTGTGACAAATATAACAGACTCCTTATTCTTATGGCTATCCCAGCTCATAATTTCTTATATACTGACAAATCTATCTACCTACCTACCTACCAACCATTTGAAATATTATGCAGGTTCTGATGACTTGCTATGTATTTTTAATATGCTATCAATGCATAATATCCTATATAAGCTTGGTCAAAACTATTAGTTATATTTAATTCCAATGAAATCTATTTAACTAAATAATTAATGCTAACTTGTATCTCTGCCAAAAGAAGTATGTATGGTCAAGGCTATGGTTTTCCCAGTTGCAATGTATGGCTGTGAAAATTGGACCATAAGAAAGACTGAGTGCCAAAGAACTGAGGCCTTTGAACTATGGTGCTGGAGAAGACTCCTGTGAGTCCCTTGGACTGCAAGGCAATCAAACTGGTCAGTCCTAGAGGAGATAAACCCCGACTGCTCTTTAGATCCTGAAGATGAATCTCAAATACTTTGGCCACCTAATGAGAAGGAAAGACTTACTGGAGAAGAGCCTAAAGCTGGGAAAGATTGAGGGCAAAAAAAGAATGGGATGACAGAGAATGAGATGGATGGATGGAGTCACTGAAGTAGAGATGTGAGCTTAAATGGACTCTGGAGAATGGTGGAGGACAGGAAGGCCTGGAGAAATGTTGTCCAAGGTGTTGCGATGAGTTGGACATGACTTTGCAATGAACAACAACTTTTATTTCATTAATTTTAGTGGTCTAATAGTCTCCATGTGAATCAGGCATAATTGAACAATGCAACAAAAATGATTTAATTCAATGATGCAATTTTCTATACATATACATACATACCTGTAGATGCAATACATATATAAAATACACAAACAGAGTATATATACCCTTATTAAAATGCCAGGTTTTGAGATGTAAAAAAGTCACATCAAGATGAATCACTTCAGAATTCTTTCCATCTTTAATATAACATGTAAACTGCACAATTCAATTGAAAAACAAACTGAAATCTTTTAGGGGGGAAATAACATTAAAAAACTAGAATACTCTCCTATAAGTAGAGATGTCACTGTGTTCATAATTAATAATTACATTGAAACTGATGGTAAATACTAGTCAGTACATACCTGCCAACAATTAAAGTGACTGATCAAGCCCAGATAAAGTTCAGCTGTTCTAGTAAGGTTTTTTTTTCACATTTACTCAGTTGCTTCTAACAGCAAAAGCCATGGTCTATAATTCATTGTTAATCATCTAATTATGGTCACAGAGCTAAATTTGTTAATCTTCAGTTAGCACTTTTTAGACATGCATTACAGAGAAAAATAGTGTAGGAAAAGATAGCTTATTTAAGCAAACATCCTTTCCTATGATGGGGCAAAAAACAAGCAATTTGTTAGGCACAGAAAACTTTATCTGAATGAGACAGCAGCAACCACTGATCTTAAAAGCCCCTCACCCATGTGCATGTGTGTCACATGTTTGCTTAGCAATCATTGTGCTAAATGACCTAGTTGTTGGAATGGAATACAATCACTAAACTAATATTTTTCTGTCCACTGGAACTATTTTTACAAAGTAGCAAAAGCTAATTTTTTTTCTTGAAGCTTGAAGGTCATAATTCAATTTTTTTCTTGGAACCCCAAATTTAGTCTAGTATAAGTAAACACTGTTAATTTACAAAGCATGTATTGAACTTCAATTTGAGAAGCATAGGTTGAAATTAAGAATACTGATTTTTAAATGTTAATTTAATTGTGGGAATTATCAAAAATAGGTGTTCAAGTGCTGAGAGTTTTAAATGCATACATTACTATTTAACACTTAAAGAAGAATTTGTGGAGAGGAGAGGCTGTCAAATTTTATATCTTCCTAAAAGTAGCTTATTTCTAAACTGTCAGATCTGTGTATCTGTCATTTCTTCAATGGAAGAAGAAAAGGGGGGGGGGAGACTGATAAAGAAATCCTTCTTGATGTAACCTGAATATATTTAATCTTGTATTGAATTTGTATAACCTACACATGATACAATGGAGGGATGAAACCCAGATGGCCAGAACCTATCACTTCTGGGAGAGACAGCCAGGAGATGAAGGGACCATAAAAATTCCACAGTGAGATGTGTCCTGGGAAACTCTGGAAAAGATCGTTCTAAAAAGGGGGTGGGGGAATTAACACGTTGGCTCTTTGTACAGATAAGGGGAGGGGTTTTAAACTCCCTTATCTATCTCTGCATGCCTGAGACCTTAAATGCTGCTTTTAAATCCCTACATGAATTGTCTCATCTCAATAAAGGATTCCTTTTTGATACGTTTCGATACATTTTGAGAAGTTCATTCTAGTTGATTGAATGGGAAAAGTTATGTAGCCTGACATAAAGCAGCGTCTGCAATAGAGGTCAGCCCAGAGAGGAATTTAAAAACAACAACAACAACAAAACCTTCACTCTACCGAGAGGCCTGGTGTCTTCAATCTCCACCTCCAGGTCTCGGCAGGGACAGTTTCTGTTCCCACGGGAAGGAAAGTCACCTAGCCAAAACAATCCTCACTATCCAACCACTCCTCCCACCTTAAGAATGTGCTGAACCTGAAACCCTCCCACTTTTATCAGCAAAGAAAAAGAAAGAAAAGGCATATATGATGAGAATATAGAGCTAAATAAAATGGCTACATATATGTCAATTTCGGGCTCGACAGGCTGTCCCCCCTCATTTGAAAAGAAACCCCTGCAACAACATAGAATACACAAGGATTGCAATTAGGCTAAACACAATTATAACAATTCAGGCATGGGGACTAATTCCATTCCAGTATTAATCTGGAAAGGGGTTAACCCAGTACAGTATTAATCTGGAAAGGGGTTAATCCAGTACTATGTAGAATTGTGCACATCCCCATGCCTGAATTGCCGAGGGATCCCCCTGTCCATGTCAGTATGTGAATGGATGGACTCCTTAAAGGAGTCATGGGAAAACACAAAAAAGGCCTTGGGGGTGGTAGCATAAATCTACAAGAAGAAAGCTGACAAACATCGCTCATAGCAATCTCAGTTCAAAATGAGGGATAAGGGCTTCCGGTGGTGACTTCCAGTGAGGAAGAACAGGGAAACAAGGCTCTGTTATGCCTACCCGATTTCTCTTTCTTGGTGACCCTTAGTGGGCATTGTGAGCCCTGGAGAAGTTAGCAAAGGCAGAGAGGAAGCCCTGAAGAAAGCATGGAGAAAGGAGAAAGGCTGTCTCCCACTAGAATGAAGGGAAGCTCCTAGATGCCAGCAGGAGAGAAGTCGGCCAGCATGGCAGATCTGAAGCCATGATAACCAGGTAAGAATCAGGAAGACAAAATCAAAAAGCAACATGATTACACTGGGTGAGAACTTTTTATTTCTAATGCTTTGCAATAGATCTACCCTTGACATAAAATAGAAGGGGAGAAAGTGGGACTCAAAAAGATTGGAGCAGGATTTCTGCTCCATGAGAATAGCGGCAACCAGGTGGTTGGAGCTTTTGACAGATCAGTAATTGTTTAGCCTAAAGTTATACATATATATTTGATAGATTCTATAGATTCTATATATGTTACTGAGCTGTGGGTTGATTGTCATTGTTAAAATAACAGGCTGTTGAAGGAGATATATCAGGGGGCGTGGGGGAAGAAAACGCTAGAGCAAAGGAAAAAATTATTAAAACTATTATATTTACCATTTTGGAGAAATACTTTCTAATTACTCAGTGTTTTTTTTTACACGATTACTAGTGATGACAAGTACATAAAATATCTCAAAAATAGGAAAGAAAATCTCATTGATGCCTACATCCACAACATCATCTCTGTCAAACCAGTGATAGAAAGCATGTTAGGCATGGAGAAGTTAGACTCTATGCAGAATATGCAAGCGACACTTCTTGAGATACAAGAAGCCATGACAAAGACCCACGAAACCATATCTAGCAATCACTAGATCAAAAGTGAAATGG